TGCCCGACTGAGATGTCATTTCACGTTATTTTGTTTAGAAGTGGGTAGTCATTTATCAATGTTTTAGTTTAGAAATGTTTAGCATTTATTTACTTTTTCATAGGTCCTCAGTATTCAAAGCCAGATACCGGAAAAGGCTGAATAAAATGCATTACCCGGACGTGCTCACTGGTTGCGAAAGTTGTGAGCTGGGTGTTTATTTTTTTTGCTGAAAACACTTGTGTTTAGAAGTGGGTATATAAATAGAAAAAAAAAATGGTTTAGAAGTGAGAATGGTTTACGAGAGGTGGGCTGCACACCCTAACCCACTTAATGGGGGAGGGATATGCTATGCTTCGACACGGTCACTCAACATACATATAGCTTAGGATGGAGACAGAAAGGGAGGATGTCCTCGATATTCAGGTCGATATAGATAATAAAGTTATTATTATTGAAAGAACAATTAAAATTTATATTGTAGCGTCTTCGGGTTGCTCCTTGGTTCGTCGTCGAGTTCGTAGAAACATGCCGGGAAAGATTGTAAGGGTGTGTTAGTTACCGGTATGTTTTACTGGTTATTCTGACAACTAATTCATGGCCGTTATTGGTCACCCACCTTAGTGCACATCGTTTATAGACGATGAACTTCAGGTTTATAAAACAGATAAAAACGAACAGTTTAAAATATTATGGGAGACATCTACTGAAGGAGTATTTATGTTTGTTTCACTGATGTTCAAAACGCTCAAAGGAGTCGGTAACAGGTGCGTTTGCATTTTAAAAATTAAAAAGCTATGCCACGAATAATAGACGCTGACATAGTTTGGAAGTGGATAGGGAGTTGTATGCTAGTTAGTCAAACTCTGCCACGGATTTTCTGGGGATTTTTGATTTTTTTTTTTCGTATGTTTTTCAAAAATTGTACAACAAAATCAAGAGTTCTTTTGAAGTCGAATGTTACCACCCCAAAACAACACCACTAGTCGCTTATGCTTTTCCCAAAGTTCATTTTTGTATTTATTCATTTTGACATGGGTAATTTGAAGTATAGGCATTTGCGGTTATTCACGGACGATTTCGAATAGTGGCTGGTATATGACAATGGTCATAATGACCAATTTATATAGTCATAGAATATTCAGGGATGTTTTCGATTGTGTTTCTAAAAAACTGCTAAGACGGGGGTGGATTTCACATAAATTACAGACGGATCAATTTTTAATCTGATCATGCACAGATTATTCTATCAGTTTGCCTCATCGATTTCATCGATGAGGGCGCAATGACTCCGCTGTATTTTACAAACTTATAACACATGGCTATGATTGGTCATCCATAGGTCCGACTCTGTGTACACACACATTCTAGACTATTAAAGGGCGGTAGTCGTCGCGCCACGCACGCGCGAGATATATGGGTCTCATATAAACAAAGCCGGTGACTTTGACTGTTGGACAGATCAACGAGTACAAACTGAGACGTTACCAAGTTTTAATTAGGTATTTTTTTAAGTGATTTGAAGGTGTCGAAGGAGTTACCAGCGGTAATTAGCGCAAGTCGCGCCCGGTCAAATCTCATACTGTGGAAAAATCAATGTTTATCAACACAAATGTCGCACATGCGCAGCGCGACGACTATCGCCCTTTAACCAATGGACGTGAATAGTCAAGTATTATCTACAACTTCCGACATCTGAAACTGTCATTTTATTTCAGAAGCGGAAGTGATTAGAATTGTTGTTCGTTACCTCGTTAAATGGCAATCTAGTATGTGCCCCTACCTAACCTAACCAGGCACCTCGATATTCAAATCACAAATCCCGTACAGAATGCACAATCTAATATAACATTGGATTTTCCATGACACTGTGATCACTGTTTACCGTTTGTTGGCGTATTATTGGCGAGTTATAATTTGGGTTTATTTAGATAACGTCACAATTGGCGCATGTATAACATCACTATGCCCGCCTACGTGTGACCAGTGAGGTAAAAGTCAGTCTTTCACCTCCATGGTGTGACGGACGTCTCGTGTAATGGCTGATCTACGCGTCGAGGTCGCACATTCTACAGTCCATGCTGAATTGTTCGAGTTCAATACGAACGAACATCGAGTTACGAAAACATCAAGTTACAAAAATTACCATGCTCATAATCTAGAAACCACGCCCTCTTTTGTGGAACCACGCCCAAATTGTAACTCAATGTTACGGGCAACCTAATTTTTTTGTTTTTGTTGAACGTCCACATTTAGTAACTCGAACTTCAATTAACTCGAGTTACGGGCAACATAGAATCATTGTTTAGAAACAAACGTCTACCCACGAGCCTTTGCGTTTTTTTACGTGTGTTATTATCATCGCTCGGGACTCAATTCCCGCGCGTGCGCAGGTAACGACCCTCCCGATTTAAAGTGTGTAAAGATATTTCAGGCCAACATGTGTGTGTTCTGAAATCCATTGCGATTTTAGATCTGGTCCCAAACATTTGTTGCTGAATGTTGCGAACTACAAACGATTGCGGGTGTATGACAACGTAAGTGAATAATTCAGTATCGTAATGGTGGGCGATTATATCTTATTAGTGCCATGAGTAATGCAGATAAGAAGGGTGTCAGTGTAGTGCCGTATGCCAACTTTGTACAGATATTCCATACCATAAACCAAATATATGGTTATAACGATAAGGTAGCAGTCACGTGGTTTATAAATCTCTGCGAATGGATGAAATATAGTTTAGATTATATTTTGGATCAAAAATGAACCACATTGAGGTGTTTATAAACCTGTCAATGCGTGAGTACTTTGTAATGTTCCAACATCACATACATGTATTATTTTATATAATGTTGTCCCCAGTTTCATGTAATTAATACTAGTATGAGGGTCGACAAGGGTAATAATGTAATTTAAATAAATAGAAAACGTAAATCCGTAGACATGGACAAGGTGTAAAATGTAATAGGCTATTTTATTCGTCCGTAATTTGTACAAAAATGTTATTTTTTTTGTAAGTGCATAAAGCACTTTTTAAATTAAATTAAATGTCGTAATTCGTACGCAATTTCCAATTTTGATTCTTAAACTCAAATTATCAAAAATATTATAAAAATGTAATTAGGCATTTGCTTTATCTGTAAAGTGTAAAAACCTTTTTTTTTTTTTACTGTAAATGGAATTTTCATTTTATTTCCTGTAAAAACTTAAAATGCCGTCTTTATTTCCTGTAACCTTTACCCCTTGCTCCTTCTCTAGTATATTTGGGGTCATTAGTCTCTGACTTCCACCCTACATTCATGCTTTGCAAATCTGTGAGATATTCCCTAACCACACACCGTAAAGTACCGAGATTGTGTATGAGTACGGAGAAACTAGCCGCACATTATGAATTGAAGCGAAAGGGGTCGTCACATGCGCATGCGCGGGAATTGAGTCCAAAGCGACGATAACAATGCATGCTAAAAACGCAAAGGTTTATTGACAGACGTTTGTTTGTAAACAACGACACGCTATGTCCGTTTGCCACATGCGCAGGTGAAGACTCCTCCGCTTTCAAATTGTAGGTATGTTTGTTGAATGGACAAGAAATTCCAGTGATTCTAAAATGAAATATGTGGAAAAAATGACAGGGCAAGATATTTACTTTCAATATATCATGTTTTCAACAAACAATTTTATAAAATAATGTTTACACATTTTGTTATATGTTGAGGTTGTTCTGGGACGTGATGTTCAACAAAACTTACAATATGACCGAATGTTCCTTCCGAGAAAGCTACTCAATGCCCATGCAATATGTATTAGATAAAAGCATGAAATATTTTGTTACATATTTTGTTGCCTATTTTTAATTTATATATGGGAGACAATGTCAAATTTTCTGATCAGGAAATATAATTTTGCCGAGAGATCTACTCTAGGCTTGATTTTGAAAATGAGTGCGCTTATATAAATTGTCGTATTTTGCATATGTACCAGTTTGGGATAGTTCATGCATATTTTAGTTCATACCAATTATTGAGAGGTTTTCATAAAAGCTACCACAATAATCTTGGTATCATGTTTGTTGTGTTTAAAATTATTCATTTAAGTCTTGTGTTTCAAACACCTTATAGTACGCAGTTCAACGTATGTGAACTCCTAACGAAGATATTCCCGGATTAACACCAGTCGTTAATGGCACACTAAACATTAATTCTCCACTCTGATGAAAGGACAAATTACTGGTACAAACTGCGAAACTAACTCACCGCGAAAGCCACTCATCGTGAAGCTACTAGTTTACATTTGAAATAACAATTACGAGTAACTAAACGTTTATAGCGGGCGTCAGCGAGATTCGTACGGGTAACTTGTAACTTTCTCAATGTTCCAATAACTTCAACTTCCCCAGACGTTTGAAGCATTGAAGCGAGCGCAAATAAGATCTGTAAGGATAATTTACAATTTAATTTGTATAGTCATAAGAATGGGTCAAATTTAATTGGTCCAAAAAATAAGTAGCGCTGGGGGAGGGGCTGTCACAAAATATAGCAAATACATGTAGTTTTCATAACATTACTAGTATATCATTTGATAGCGCCAACAGTTCCTAGGCAGTTTACTAACTGCCCGTAGGAATCTTGTTTGCGCCCACCGTAATTTACACAATAACAACAGAAATCCAAAGACGGCTAAAGTTTTTTTCGTCGTTTTATAGTTTTAAAATTATGATGCAGACACGATTACGCAGAACGCGGCGGGGAATGTTTTCAAAAATTATGCCACTCAGTCACGTGACTTTGGGCCGGAATCCCGACCCAGTGGAACAATATTACCTGCGTCCCTACTGAGTTCTACTTGCTATTCGCAAGGGACGCCAAGAACCAGCGAATGACCTCTGGAGCCACTCTCCATTCCAGAGTTCTTAGCGCACGAAGGTGATTTGAAGAAGCGCCACCACATTGCTTCCTGTGACGACACAACGGCGCCACCATGCATGGAGAGTGCTCGAGAGCTTCCGATAACGAGGCTGGGGTATTCCCCTTCTACTAAGCAATATCAAAAGCCATCCTTATTGGAAAACAGACTGCCTTCTACTTTTTTACCGTACCAAATTTCCCATTTTGGTAATGATACCAATCTGCGAAATTATTGTACAAGTCAGTGCTGTATATAGCCAAGATAAACCTCATCGCTATTTTTGAGTACAGTCGATAAATGTGCATGTACATTTCCATGATTACGCACTTCCGTTTCGCGGTAAAACATCGTCCTGGACATCGTTGGATGACTCGACCGGAATGAATTGCATCTGAGATGTAAGTAAATTCTCAAACATGGTACACAATGTCGGGGGCTAAGGAGCGATGTGCGCTGAGTCCATATTTTATACTTTTAAAGGAACAAGTTGTACGCGCACAGTCGAAAACGGCGTTGATTAATCGAGCTGAATCCAAGGATCGTCAAGTCTTGCCTGGGTCACTATTTGAGGAGGTAAAATCGCAGACAAGGCACACCAGCCCCATTACAGGGTCCAGGGGAGACAAGTTCGTTTACAAATCCCTAGAACACGAAAATCTCGTTTTAGAATGTTCCACTGACAATTTAGCGAGGATATCTAAAGAGGAAAAGGATCTATTAGTTGGATTGGTACAGTTACGTGAACGGTATGATATTTATATTGGTGACAAACGCCGCCTCGCAGAAGGACTGCACATAAAAGTAGGCTCCGAGGTACACGTCGACGTACAGGGCTTGGTGCAACGAGTGTCAGGAATTGTACGGTATAAAGGCCCATTGCCTGGACAAAGTGGTACACATTTTGGCATCGAGCTTTTGGTAAGAAACATAGGTATATTGTATTTATATTAGTCCTACCCCTTGTTTTCTAAGGGCTATGATTAGTCATGTAATAACACTTTGTTGATCTGGATCGGAGACAAAGCGACGACATGGACCTGAGTGTGCCCCCCCCCCCCCTCTTTTTGTCGTCCCCATTTATTTATCTTGTTTATACTCCCAACTTAAACAATGGACACAATAGTGGAAATACCCAACTACGGAACTGAAATATGACTCTAAAATTACTGGTAATGTTTGTATACATACACACCGTATCTGACTGTAACATGAGCTATTTCTGAACTGGGGGAAAACCCAATCTCTTCCTGGTTTAAAGAGGTCAAAGTGCATCCTTTCAGCTGATACTGGAAGCGATATTTGAATAATATCATGGTGTAGTTCTTGCATCAGATTGTACATTAAAGCATTGACGTACTCCCTACAATACTAGTGCATTCATATTTTAGAAAATCATCTCAAAAATTCTCAGTAAAGCATATTTGTTTGTCTCATCAGTGACCATGTGACTTTCAAACTTCCAAGGTCTAAACAAATCATATACATGTACCATGCACATATTGTTCAATAGGGTAAACAAAATTCAGGAGATCATCGATCAAACCATCATAGAAATAAGGTCATGTCTGCTATTGTTTTGGTTGTGTATTTTTAGCAAAGGAATGTGACACAAATCAATTTTTAATTTGTTAGCGCGATTTAGAATTTATTGTCAATTATTGCTAGAACCATGGAGCTCTATTTTTTAGCTCCATGCTAGAACACATCAACTTATACTTTATAATGAGCATTCCAGGTAATCATGTTTTTTCTATGATTTCCTTTATTCTCATTTCTTGTGGGTACTTATGCATGGTGAATCATACATATGTAGTATATAGTCATATTTATGAACATATGAGCATTGTACCTATGTTGAAATTGTGGTACTAAACAAAATGTGAAATCACACACGATCTGTTGCTGCACTTAATAATTAATTCTTTCGTTAAAGGTCAACTGGTCTGTCACTCTGGGCTATTCAAATTCCAGTCTTGTTTTTAATCATCATTGTTTAAAATCCCCCCAAATAAATGTTTGTAATATCTTTATTGATTGCTGTGCCATTAAATGTTAAGAAATATTGGAATTGGAATATAAATCTAAAAATACAAGTAATGTTAGTAAATACTATGGAGGTACATGTATAATCTATTGTACATGTACATGTAGCTCCATGGTAATTCATTGTTTAGCCCACACTCAAATGAGAATTCTAAGTAAGTAACATTTTCAGGACATTGTTTTTACCATCATGTGATATACTAGTAATGTTACTTCAGATATGGGACCAATATTGAATCATGCCTAATTATTTTTCTTTAAACTTTAGCCATTAATTAACTCAAATTTATGCAACTTTTCATCAAACTTTTTTATAAAACTGAGTAAACATCTAAAATGAACATTTGCATTTGGTGTATCAAAAATATACTCTGATTGTTTTAATCAAATATCGTGTCATTCCAGTGATGTATTAATACGGCAAACACAGTAAAAAAAAAATGTTTCAAAAATGCACACATTCCTATTTAAGGTAGTGTGAATGGCAAAACATGCATGTTTGCGACTCATTTCTTATAGACATCTTCCACAGTGCATCATTAGGACTCTAGCATGAGACATTCCATATGTGATACTTACGGGAAGCTTGAGCTTAATTCTCACGATAGTTGCTATATTGATGAAAAAAACACTGTAGATAAAAGACCTCTGTGGGCACGGATGATTTTAGTAACCGTGACACAGGAGTGGATTTTGAAGAGGCACACCTAGTGTACACTCACCACTTAAACCTTCATTACTCATATACATATCCCACAATGCAATGTGACAATGACACATATATTAAGGTTTGCCTCCTAATCACCATAATTTGGTCTATTAACCTTTTCACCACCAGACTTTCTCGCCCAAATTTGTCTGCACTTTTTTTTTATATTTCTGGAAATGAACCCTAATTTTGGAGCCCACAGACTAAATTTGAGTCACTGTTCTGTTTCAGCTGCGCTTATTTTTGTCCTAATCTTCTGAAGGAAAGTGCAGACTATAAATGGGATCATTTTGTGAATTTTTTATGAAAAGAGGGAACTGGTGGTGAAAAGGTCAATGAAATGAGACATTTGTTTTCAATTCACCAGTTAGACAAACGGAACGATTAATAATAATAACTTTATTACACTACTAAAAACCTTCAGAGGGTTTTTGTATGGTAAAGAACATAAATACAAAAAAATACAAATACAACAAATTCAAAAGACATAAAATTAAAAAGAAAAAGAAAAGAAAAAATTGACACAATTCTTTTTAAAGGGCAGTAGGTGTCATTGATTGTATGTGATAAGGGTTCCTAAACTACAACGTACAAATGATTGGCCGATATCCAAAGCATTATGAGTCAGCTCTATAAATAAAGAAATGTTTGAGAGGTTGCAAGTCTAAATAGAGAAATTACACAATGTTGTAAATGTTTGATTTGCAGTCTGTATTGTTCTATGGAAAATGTGTCAATGTTGAGATTTTTAAACACATTAAAGTAGTTGTCATTGGCTGCAATGTGATGATGTTTTTTATCTAATACTTTCATCTGCTAGATATTTGATCAGCGAATAAGGGGAAGGTACATAGAAAAAGGTGGAACTTAAGAAACGTGTTTTAGCTGGTTCTATAACGATAAAAAAATCAAAACTGTTTCACAAGCGTGCAATGAGAGGGTATTCGTATGAGAAAACTAATACCAGTAAAGAGCAAGGTAAAGTTTTTGTAAGGTTAAATTAAATAGTTTACTATGTAAACAAATATAGGGTACCGGTATGTAGGTAGGAATAACTTTATTTTAACATAAAAATTAATTATTAATAATTAACATAAAATTATTAATTAGTTGGCAATGTTGCTGTTTTTGTGTTCTAAACAACATAGCAGTGACAGTAACTATTTTAAATTTATTTTACTGTATTTATTTAACAATAATGCACCATATCTATAGGTTCTTGTTTGTTCAAAGAATTGTTTCAATTTTGCACATAGAGACAGAAATGTACTATACCTAAAAGTGTCCATAAAAGGTACAGAGTCTGAGTGAAAAATGTAGACACTGTCGGGTTACCGGTAACACACTTATTAGTCCCTGTTCGGACACAGTCCGAAAACAGGGTCTTATGGTTTGACTTTTGTGTCTGGACCTATATCTTAGACATGTGTGGACTGATTACATTCAAACTTCACATATACATCATACATAATATTATACATATGCACATCAATTTGTTACACGGTCTGATTCAAGATGGCCGATTGGCGACCATTTTTGTGCTGAAAAATCATTAAAATCAAGCATTTATGGATGGATTTTGTTCAAACTTGATTTTGTTTTTCAGATCAGATTTATAGTGGTCGACTGGCGACCATTTTGTTTTAATGAATGCACTACTAGTGCCATATCTCTGCCATGCTTTGACTGATTATGTTAAAATTTTATACATTTATTCTACATCATGTTATAGATATACAGATATATAAAAAAATGGGTAAAAATATCTCTCAATAATGACAAGTACTCGTTTGATGATCAGATACAAATGACTGAATATCAATCATTTTAATGTTAACAAATCACCATAATTAAGCATCAGCTTCTGGATCCATATCTCTGACATGTTTATGTTTGAACTATATTACTATAAACAAAATTATAGTTTGATAACTAACGGGGACTGTGCCATGCATGGCTGGTTTTCTTTATTTTGGTTTAATGTTGCATTATTTATTTCACGCAATTTTGCTTCTAAAATTTCAGATTCAGTAGCTTTTTTGCATCCAATTTGTTTTAATGTAGAAGCCAACACATAAATTAAAATACCCAGAATTTAATCATTTTGCAATAAACTGTACTCCAAGGCAATAAAAGGATATTGACCTCAAAAAAATTTGGGGTCACCAGCCTTATTTTTGAGAAATTGATGGTTGTATTTTAGTGGAAAGTCGCCATTTTGGCACTATTATAATGCTTTAGTATAGATTCCTATGGCAGAGATATTATGCAATATCTCAAAATCTAACCTGGCTGAAAAAATCAAATATTAAATGATGGGGTACTTTTTGCTGTTCTGAATTAATTAAAAAATTATTAACATTATGTTCTATGGAATTGTTCAAAAAATAGCAATTTTCAAGAAAAATTAGGACACATTTACCAAAAAGCTTAACTGTAACACACAAAATAATGCTATTTCATTGTATCATATGACATTAGCTTCATGATTGTTAATAATAAACTAATGAACATTGTCATGCGATTTATGACCAATTTCGTCAAAATTGATGAGTAGGCTACTACCTTAATACGTCATAAGAATGTTTAGATACATTCACAGGCTGTGGGTCACATGACATGTAAAGTCAATAAAACTTGAGCAGACAACAAATATTTGTGAACCTGTAAAGCTCACAGATATATCCATGGTCAAAGTCAGATTTTAACAAATATGGTAAGCATGAATCGATCATGGCAATATAAATACTTCACACAATAATACATGCTATTTGTTGTATCAATACAAGTGTTACATCATTCTAGCCCAAGCTAGAAACAGTTTTAAATCTACATCGCTACAAAATGCATCTACACTTGTTTTCTGGTGTGACGCAGTGATATGTTGGTATATTTGTGTTGATATTATTTGTATATAATAATTGTATTTAATACACAGGAACAGAAAGGTCAAGGAACTACTGATGGAATTTTTCGTAAACAGCGCCTGTTCAAATGTGATGAAGATTGCGGTGTATTTGTATCAATTAGTAAAATTAGTCTAGTAAGTCTGGATCATAAAAAAAATCGGAAATCATCAAAAAAAGGTGATGAAATGAAGGCCACGAAGGATGATCAAATTGAAATTGGAAGCAGAGTAGTTATATTTTGTGCGGGAGATGAGGGAGATCAGGCTGAGTACGGAACAGTCAGATATATCGGGATTCCAAAGAAACTTGCTGAACGCCATATTGGAATTGAACTGGTTAGTAGTTTACAAAATAACACAGTCCTGTTGATGTTTGGAAACTTGTTGTTTTTGTTTATGCATACTCTAAATTTCAGAAAGTCTTTTTTTTTATACAAAACATTTATATTACAATATCAATGAGGATAAAAACAACTTGAACGAATCAGAATGCAAATAAAAGCCATATGCTTAGAATGGTCAGCCGACCTTTGACCCATTATGACAATTTTCCTGCCACTGGAACATGTTTTAAATTTTTGGTGTCAAATTATAGTTATAATGTTACTTGAAATATTTAGAATATATATCTAGGAAGGATTAGTTTAAATTAAGTGTTTTTACATAACTTAATAAGATGTTCTATTTGGATTTATATTAGGATAATCCTGTGGGATCCGGTACTGGTAGGTTTGATGGAGAAAAGCTTTTTCAAACAGAGAAAAATCATGCAATACTTGTTCCTTATTTAGCTGTATTGCCTGCTCATCATTTTGAAGAAAAGCCAAAGTCTGGTAAGTTTTCAGTTTGAGCAACTAAATATTAGATAGTATTGTAGTTGGTGTGGTTCTTTAGCCCCAACTTGACACAGTCACGGGGCTTATTGATTAGGGTTCATCACAGTATCGCAAAAGTTTATTGACAGATCTTTCCCAACCTTGATACATGGTTGATACATTGTGGTATACATATGTCCCAGATTGGCAACCATATTTGACCCCAAAATGACCTTAAAATCTACATTTTATATGTGTGGAGCAATACCTCCAATTTGACATGGCCAATTTTGTTCAAACTTAGAATATGGGTAACACCTGTTGCCATACTGAGGCACATCCACTATTTTTTTTCGAAATTCGCCTACTGGTGGCCATTTTGTTTATAAATCATTTTTGACTCGCGTGTGTGAAGCACAAAAAGGGATTTTTTGCATTAGGCTTAGTGTGTCTGTGTGTGTCTGTGTGTGTGTGTGTGTGTGTGTGTGTGTGTGTGTTCCACTGATATCTCAAGAACCATACATTGATTTTTGATGAAACTTGGTGCATAGATGCTCTGGGCCAATGCGCAGATTTGATTAGTTTTGGGTAAAAATCTGTGCAATATTAATTACCTAATTTGCATAATGATTAATCAATTTTTGGCTTTTCCACTGATTCTCAAGTACTAATCATCACATTTCAATAAAACTTGGTACATAGATGTCATAGGACACTGCACAAACCTGATAGTTTTTGGGTAATATCAGTACATATTAATTACCTTATTTGCATAATTAATTAATTTTCAGCTTTTGATATTTCAAGTACATGTAGTAATCATCACATTTCAATAAAATTTGGTACATAGATATCATAGGACACTGCACAGACCTGATAGTTTTTAGGGTAATATCAGTAGATATTAATTACCTAATTTGCATAATTATTTAATTTTCAGTCTTTGATATTTCAAGTAGTAATTGTCACATTTCAATGAAACTTGGTACATATATGTCATAGGACACTGCACAGACCTGATAGTTTTTAGGGTAATATGAGTACATATTAATTACCTAATTTGCATAATTAATTAATTTTCAGCTTTATCAAGTAGTAATCATCATATTTCAATGAGACTTGCTACATAGATCTTCTAGGATTATGCCGAGACCTGATTAGTTTTAATTTGATAATAATGACTTAATTTGCATAATGTTCCACTGATATATAAAGAACCATGAATTGGATTTTAATGAAACTTTTAAAGAGAACTAGGCAGAAACCCAATTAGTTTTTGGTAAATATTTATGCTTATTAAACACCTAATTAACATAATTAATTAACACTTATATCTCAATTACTGATCATCACATTTGAATAAAATTTGGTACATAAATGCTCTAGGACAATATACAGGCCTGATTAATTTTGGGTTAAAATTTGTTCATATTAATTCTCTAATTAGCATAATAATTCATAATTTTTTTGTTCTGTTCTGTTCATATTAGTTACCTGATTTACATAATTAGTTTTCAGCTTTTCCATCAATATCTCATGTACAAGTAATTTTGAATTAATTTTTAATGTGTCTTCAATACTTTCAGCACACGGGAGTTCTTTCTAAGCTTTCTTTGATATATATTATTTTTGCTTATAGCTTGAGATTATAATTACTACAGTTGTTCAGATTAGGTGCAGAGGCAGTATACGGTATTATTTCATGAAAATGCATGTTGATTTTTGTTGAAATTCTATGCAATATGGCTGACCAGCAGCCATTTTGTTTGACAAAAATTCACAATTTTCGCTTTGAGTTATATCTCAAATTCATTCAAAGTCTTCTATATTTTTCTTTTTTCACAATTCTGCTTATATCTTAAATTCTCACGTAGTTGCCTGGTTACGTTTGAACTTAGTGCAGCCATTTGTATTCTAGCATATCAATGAAAATTCATCTGTGTCATAGTTCAATCATAGATGGTCATGCTTAGGCTGTTTTGTTTTAAACTTGGTATGTTGGGTGCCTGATGTAGTTCTTTTTTGCGTTTTGATTCAAAATGGCTGACTGGTGGCCATATTGTTTTATGGTTTTGCATTCTAAGACATGCTTTGACTAATTTAGTTCAAACTTAATCAATGCACTTGATTAAAAAGTAGCATATAAATGCTGTCATTTCATTTGTCATATATATTAAAGTACAAAAACACAGGTTGCTGTTATATTTATAAACCTCATTGATTTGCACAATATCCAGGGTCTGTACCC